TTATTCAATTTGCCTGTCTGTGTCTTTGATTGGGGCATTTAATCCATTTAAATTTAGGATTGATATTGACATTTGTGAGTTTAATATTGTCATTTAATGCTAGCTGGCTATTTTGCCCATTAGTTGATATAGATTCTTCATTATGGAGATACTCTTTATCTTTTGGCAAGTTTTTGGGATGACTGATACTGGTTGTTCCTTTCTGTGTATAGTGCTTCTTTAAGAAGCTCTTGTGAAGCAGGCCTGGTGGTGATGAAATCTCTGAGTGCTTGCTTGTTCGTGAAAAATTTTATTTTTCCTTCATTTATGAAGCTTAATTTGTCTGGATATGAGATTCTGGGTTGAAAATTCTTTTCTTTGAGGATATTGAATATTGACCCCACTCTCTTCTAGTTTGTAGGGTTTCAGCTGAGAGATCTGCTGTGAGTCTGATAGGCTTCCCTTTATGGGTAACTTCACCTTTCTCTCTAGCTGCCCTTAGAATTTTCTCCTTTATTTCAACTCTGGTGAATCTAACTATTATGTGTCTTGGGGTTGCTCTACTTGAGGAATATCTTTGTGGTGTTCTCTGTATTACCTGAAGTTGAGTATTTTCCTGCCTTACTAGGTTGGGAAAGTTTTCCTGAATAATATCCTGAAGAATATTTTCCAGCTTGGATTCATTCTCTTCATGACATTCAGGTACACCTATCAGACGTAAATTAGGTCCTTTCACATAGTCCCATATTTCTTGGAGACTTTACTCATTTCTTTTTACTCTTTTTTCTCTCATCTTGTCTTCTCGTTTCATTTCATTAAGTTGGTCTTCGACCTCTGATATCCCTTCTTCTGCTTGATCAATTCAACTGTTAAAACCTGTGCATAGTTCTCGTATTGTATTCTTCAGTTCCGTTAATTCACTTATATTCCTCTCTAGATTGTCTATTCTCATTAGGATTTCGTCAAACCTTTTTTCAAGGTTCTTAGTTTCTTTACATTGGGCTAGAACATGTTGTTTTAGCTCATAGAAGCTTCTTATTATCCACCTTCTGAAGTCTAAATCTGTTAATGGAACGCACTCGTTCTCCATCAGGCCTTTGTTCCCTTGTTGATGAGGAACTGTGATCCCCTGTAGAGGGAGAGGCATTCTGATTTTGGGTATTCTCAGCCTTTTTACACTGGTTTCTTCCCATCATCGTAAATTTATCCACCTGTCGTCTTTGTAATTACCCTCTTTCAAATTAGGTCTCTGAGTGGATGTCCAACTTGTTGATTCCCAGTGCCGAAATCTGAGCAACCCACTGCACCGGCCAAAACAGCTGCGTTGTGGTGCTTTTCTGCCCAGGAGTCTCTGATCTGGCTTCCTTCTTGAGTCCCTTTTTCAATTAGCTGAATAGGCGACTCTGCCTTCCCGGAGCTCCAAATGTCGACCAAAAGGGGATCAGTCCCGTTAACTCTGCACCAAGAACCGCCACGCCAGGGCGCCGGCAAAACCGCCGCATGGGCAAAACCGCCACGCTGTCCACAAGAGTCACGCTGGCGACCCATGGGGCTCCTCCGCTGGGAATCTCCTGGTCCGCGAGCAACAAAAATTTGTCTGAAAGTGTGGCGTCCTCTTGTTCTCTGCGTTTTCACTGGGAGCTACAATCCTGAGCTGCTAGTAATCAGCCATCTTGGATCAGAACTTTATTTTCTTACCATTCTGGAGGCTAGGAAGTTCAAGATCATGGTGCTGGCAGATTTGGTGTCTGCTGAGGGCCTATTCTTTATACAGCATCTTCTTTCTATGTCTTCAGATAATGGAAGAGCTGGGAGGGTAAAAGAGGCCTATCTAATTCCCATGAGCCCTTTTGTAAGAATACTAATTCTATTCATGAAGGCAGAGCCTGAATGACTTAATCACCTCCTAAGGGCTCCACCTTTTCATACTATCACACTGGGCCTTACGTTACAACATATAAATTTTGATGGGACACATACATTCTACTTTAAGATCTCCTAATTTGTGTGCCTGGTACTTCACCTCTTGTCTCTTTTAACCTTTTCTCAACATAGCAAGCAGTAAGATCTAGTTAAAAGTAAGTCAGGTCATGTTAGTCCTCTGCCATAAACCCCTCGGGGCTCCCTGATGCCTCAGAGGAGAGGCAATGTCCCTGCAATACAGATAAGATTCTACCTGTGGCTGAGCCACACACACCCTCGTTGACTCTCTGCTGTCAGTGTATGCCACATGTCTTCTTGCACACTCTGTTCCTTCCACTGTCATCTCCCTGCTCTTCCTGGAATACACTAGAAACGTGATCACCCTAAGCCCTCTGCACGTGCTACTCCATCTGTGTGGAATGCTCTTTCCCTCACATGGCTTACTATCCTACATTTAGGTCTTCACTCACAGTGAGACCTGCCAAGGCCACATTATCTTAAGTTACACTCATACATGCACATGCACAGAGAAAACCACACTCTCACTTACTTTAATTTTTTTCATGCAGCTATCACTGTATGATGCCATAATATTTTGATTAATGTCCCTTCTTTCCCAAGTAGGAGGTAAGCTCCATGAATGCATGCATTTTGTTTTGTGTGCTGTATCTTTAACACCTAGAATGGTACCTGATGCCTAGTGGGTGGCTAATAAGTATTTATTGAATGATTATTTTTATTATTTCAAGCATGAGGCAGTTTCTAGTGCTGCCATAACAAAGTACCACAAACTGGGTGGCTTAAAGAAATTTATCATCAGACAGTTCTGGAAGCTAGAAGTCCAAAATCAAGGTATCTGAAGAGCTTCTCTCCTCTAAAACCTGTAGGGGAGTGATATGGTTTGGCTGCGTCCCCACCCAAATCTCGTCTTGAATTGTAACTCCCACAATTCCCATGTGTTGTGGGAGGAACCTGCTGGAAGGTAATTGAATTATGGGGGCTAGTTTTTCTTGGGGAGTGCTGTTCTCGTTATAGTGAATAAGTTTCATGAGATCTGATGGTTTAAAAAAAATGGAAGTTTCCCTGCACAAGCTGTCTTCTCTTATCTGCTGCCATGCGAGATGTGCCTTTCACCTTCTGCCATGGTTGTGTGGTCTCCGCAGCCACGTGGAACTATAATTCTATTAAACTTATTTATTCTGTAGATTTCCCAGCCTTAGGTATGTCTTTATCAGCAGTATGAAAATGGAATAATACAGGGAGAGTCCTTACTTGCCTCATCCAGCTTCTCGTAGCTCTGGGGGTTCCTGACCTGCAGCTGCATCTCTTTGAGCTCAGCTTCCATGATTGCATGGCATTCTGTCATTTGTCTGTGATTTCACATGGCATGAAGAAATGAAGATACCTCCATGTGTGTCCATGTCTTGTTACATGGACGTAAGTCATAAGGATTAAGAGCCCACCTTAGTCCAGTAAAACCTCATCTTAACTAATTCAATCTATTAAAACCTTATTTCCAAATAAGGTCACATTCTGAGACTCTAGGAGTTAGGACTTCAACATACCTTTGTCGGGGACACTATTCAATCCATAACAGGTGATCAGGGCATGAATCAAGTAGATGTTATGGCATTAAGGACATTAAAAGCTAATAATGACATGAGAATCTGAAGGAAGAATGAATGAGATCCCTATAATGGGGGTTTGGGGCATAATCCCAAAAGACACCATCTTAAATACCATAACCTCTAATAATTAAGATCCTGAAAGATCAAAATCCCTAAAATGTAAAATCCCCAAAATTACGCTCTTGAAGTATCAACATTCCAAAAATATAATTATTTTTAAAAGGAGAGTTGAGAAACATAAAAAAATGTGATAGAATATAGGCAGCAATGATGTATATATTTTTGTAAGCATAAACAGGTATAACATTTTTGAGCAGATTAATCATATTCATAAAGAAATAGCTTATATAAATATGTTCATCTAAAATACCATTATGAATAATCTAAGTCTTTTGATCAAAAACCTTGATGAATCACCACCACATCACCACAGCATATGTAGTTACCTGGAGAGTCCAGAGCTTGAGAAACGTTATCTTTCACAAAAGCAGGTATACAGAAGGGATATCTCTTCATCTACTGAAAAAGTTTCAGTGTTTTTATGTACATGCACAATGCTTACATACAAAGTCAAACTTGTGATAATGCACTTTCCTGGAGTTAAATTTGCAAAATACACATAAAATGAATTAGAACTCTTTAAAAGTCTTTACACGATTTATATCTCCAGCATTGGTAAAGATTAAATACATAGCATAGAAAATTGTAAAAGATGATACTGACAATTTAAAATCATGAAGAAACCCTAAAACAACAGCAATAACACCTGAAGAAACTAAAAAAAAAAAAAAAACCTGACATAAAAGGTGTTACAGGGATAGATTATGGGCAATTGCATGGAAGTAGTCCAAAAAAAGCTGGCTGATTTTCACTATCATTAACTATATTTTGAAGTGTTGCATCAAAATATTGTCAATCTGTTACTAGAAGGCAAGACAGGCAGTCTGTGACCACGTTTCTTAGTAAGAGCTCCAATTTGTATTTTCTTTTCTCACAATTTAGAAGAAAATTTCTGTGGAACCTTGAGATCATGTACTGCTAGCTACTTGCAATAAAATTTAAAAAGTGAAAAGAAAAGGAAGGAAAGAAAGGAAAAATGGAAGGAAGGAAGACAGAGGAAGAGAGAGAGAAAAGAGCCTCTGCAGTCTAATACCAAGGGTGGCATTGCTGTGTGAAAACATGGGATGGGTGGAAGGACAGGTATTCCCTTTATGTATCAACTTGCCTCTCCATCTATTGACCGGACTAATATATCACCAACAGAGCTATGGTCCAATTTGAGGCCTCCACACCTGTTTGTGACCCATGTACCTTGTAGGACTTGCTCCTCCCTGTATGTACTCCTCGTGGATTCCCAGCACATATGTCCCTTGGATTAGTCTGTGCTCATGCTGCTGATAAAGACATACCCAAGACTTTGTAATTTATGAAGAAAAATAGGTTTAAGGGACTTACAGTTCTCTGTGGCTGGGGAGGCCTCACCATCATGGCAGAAGCTGAAATGTACATCTTATGTGGAGGCAGGCAAGAGAGAATGAGGGTCAAGTAAAAGGGAAACTCTTTATGAAACGATCAGATTTCATGAAACTTATATATTACCATAAGAACAGTACGGGGAAGCCGTCCCCATGATTCAGTTATCTCCCACTGGGTCCCTCCCACAACACATAGGAATTATGGGAGCTACAATTCGGGGTGAAATTTGGGTAGGGACACAGCCAAACCATATCATCCCTTCTTACGCTTCTCCTTTGACCCCTTCTCAAATGTAGCTATTACTTAAATCCTTTATTACTGTCTTCCTTCCAAACCTAACTTCCCTATCACCAAAACACAGACAACAACTTTACCCTTACCTTTTTGATGGCATTCATGATACCCTGTCTTATAGGTTTATATTGGTGGAGATTCTGTCTCCCATAAATCAGAGAGATAAACATATAAGTAGCATGATTTTTTGTTAGTAAAACTTTTAGATGATTATAGATTTAAATCTTAATAAAATCTTGGGTTGCTGGGTAAAAGAATGTGAAATTTCAAATACAAGAAATTAACATTTCTCAATTGTCTTCTGAGACAGCAGTGCACAATAAGGAAAACAGGTTAAGATTCAGAGGGGAGGGGAGAAAGAAAAATTAAGAAATGTGGAGAAAGTTTTATGGATGGTAAAAAGTCTCCATTATGTTACACTAAGCTGTACTTGATTTTGTTCTTTAAATACCTACACTCTCCTTGGGAAATAAATTATTTAACATATTGTGATAGACTGAATGATGTGACCCCCAAAATAGCTCTGTCCTAATTCCTAGAATCTGTGACTATGTTGTTATGTGGCAAAAGGGACTTTGCAGATGTGATTAAGTTATGGACCCTGAGATGGGGAGAATATTCTGGATTCTTTGGGTAGACCCAATGTGATATGATTTGGATGTGTCCTGGCCCAAATCTCATGTCCAGTTGTAATCCCCATTATTAGAGGAGTCTGGTGGGAGGTGATTTGATCACGGGGGCCGATTTCACTCTCTCTGTTCTCCTGAATGCAGGTCATCTCTAGTAGCTGGAAAAGGCAGCATATAGATTCTCCCCTGAGCCTCCAGAAGGAACGCAGTCCTGCCAACACCTTGATTAGTGCATGAGCTTTCATGAGACCTGGTTGTTTGAAAGCGTGTGGCACCTTCCCCTTCTCTCTCTTCCTCCTTCTCTGGCCTTGTAAGATGTCCCTGCTTCCCCTTTGTCCTCTGCCATGACCGTGATTTTCCTGAGGTCTCCCAACCCCTGCTTTGAGTACAGCCTGCAGCACTGTGATCCAATGAAGCTTATTTTCTTTATAAATTACCCAGTCTCCGGTAGTTCTTTATAGCACTATGAGAACGGACTACACAATGTAATGTGGAATGTACAATGTGGAATACACAAGGTAATCACCAGGGTGTTTATAAGAGAGAGGCAGGAGGGTCAGAGTCAGAAGGAGATACAGTGATAAAAGAAGACATCCTGATGACAGAAGTAGAGAGAGAGAGAGAGAGATTGGAGGTGCTGGCTTTGAAGATGGAACAGGGGCCACAAGCCAAAGAATGCAGGTGACCTCTAGAAGCTGGAAAAGGCAGCACGTAGATTCTCCCCTGAGCCTCCAGAAGGAACGCAGTCCTGCTGATACCTTGATTTTAGGATGTCTGACCTCCAGAACTGTCAGATAATAAATCTGTATTGTTTTAAGTTATGTAATTTGTGGCAGTTCATTACAATGTCAATAGGAAATTAATACATGTATTTTACAGGAAGAGGAATTTAGGCTATGACAATTAAAAGTAGAGACCAAGGGTTGGTGCACTTTTCTGTCTAGGACCAGACAGTGAATATGTTAGGCTTTGTGGGCCATGTGGTCCCTGTCACCGTTACTCAACTCTGGCGTAGACAATACCAAATAAATAGGTGTGGCTGTATTCCAGTAAAATTTTATTTGCAAAAATCGGCAGTAGACTGGATTCATCCTGCAGGCTATAGTTTGCTGACACATGGTATAAACCAATGCCTTGTCATCATTTATGGTCTTAATTTGTGCTTCATCATAGCCTGGAATCTGATTCCCATCTAAGCCTGCCACATGCCCGCAGAACATCAGCAATGGCCTATGGTTGGTTCTCCAACCAGAAACAAGCTCATTATTAACACTACAGATATATTGAACGCCTCAGTATTTGCACATTTGCAAAAGCTGTGTGCTGGAGGTGTAAATGGTAGTGCTAAATTATGTTGGTTTGATTTGGTCCAGAGAAAACCCTACTGTATCTTCATAAAACTGTCAGTGTTTTTAATGCTAAGAATATGTACTTACTATAAAAGTATATTCCATCAAACAATGTCCACAGAGGATTAAACTGAACTGTATAATCATGTTTTTGTGTACAGCCTTCAGGATTGCTAACGCTCTATTATTTATCCTTGCTCCCTGGGACATCTGTCTTGGGACGTCTCTCTTGAGATGGAGATTTGCTTAGCAGATGAGATGCTGTACAGACAATGTGATTTTTAGCCAAATAAATTGCTGTATGCAGGGATTCTTCCTCAGCTCTCTATCATACTTGCTTTTGCTTTGTGTATCTGACCCCTAACATCTGTATAAACGTGGCAAGTTAAAACAGCCTGCTTGTACCTGGCTTGCCAAACCCAATTCTGCCCTCATCATGTTTTATATCAAGATTAAGTAACTTTGCTGCCTCTCTGGATCTCTGCTGGTTTTCTACTTGGTCCTCCTGGCCTATTAATAATAGTTGCCCTTCAGCCTTCAAGACCAGACTCAGTTTTGCCTCCCCTGTGGTCAAACCTTTCACACCATTCTTCCTCTGCAGCTTCTCCAAACATCTCTCTGGTCTGTATGTGGGCTAGTTAATTAAAGTTTAACGAAGTTCTAGCATTGACATGATTTTTACATGCATCATGTTAAATTATAGATCCTCGTATTCAGAAACTGCATTGTGGTTTGGCTGCAATTCATAATACTTAAGCACAATATTCAATAAATATTTGCTGGCTTGTTGATTGTTGATTTCATTATTGAGTCCTTTTTGGATTTTAAGTGTGGGTATATGACATTATATTAAGAAATATCTTAGTGGAATATAGAATTGAATCATTATTTTTATTTCACACTCTGAAGTAAAGCAACTGTTCATTCCCTCCTTACTGTTTTAGAGAAAGCAGTCTAGTCTTATTTCCAAATTTGCTTAGTGGTTATAATTTATGTTAAAAAATCCTACTTGATGACAACATTTAATTAAGAACTTGGAAGCAAAGAATAATTAGGATGCATTCCTGCATATTTTCAGCGTTGGTATGAGTTTATGTAACTAAACTATTCCAGATGATTAAAGATCTTACTAACTTCAAAGACTTACAGAGAAAGTAGGTTCAGAGTCTCCTGACAGGGTTTGATTCTCTTTAAAAGTATTTGCCAGGGAAGGTCCTGTGCGTTTGCCAGGCCTCAGTGAGTCATATCACTTGGTCCACAGAGGTGTGTTTGGAAATGTTTTTTGGGGTCTCTGAGACCCCTGCTGCTCAGATTGCGATTTCTAATACGTATGGTACCCACATTGTCAGTCTGGTTTGGCAGTGCATACTTCCAGCAACTGACCAGGTATAAAAAAGAGAACTGCTCTGAGACTCCACCCAAAACAGTTCTAAAGATGTTCGGTCAAAATGAGTAAGCACAGGCCACTTAAACCACTGCTGTTTGTAATTTTCTGTCTGTACCCACTCCACTGGAAAAGTTATCAGAGTTTATTAGTGAAGCAGATATTCTGATGCCCTCAGGTATTGAAGGTCAAGGATCAGGACACTTGAATAATAAGAAACTGCACTAAAAGTTCTTGATTGCCCCTTTGCATTAATGTTTGGATAAGTGAGGAAAAAAAGTGGAAAGGAAATGGTTATATAAAAATAGAAAACATTGCTCTGTTGTATACCTGCCAAAGAGAGGCAATTTGAATCTAAGCGTGAGAAAACACACAACTCCAGATGGGGAACTTTATGTAAAATAATTGCCCTAGACTCTTAAAAAATGCCAATGTCATGAAAGATAGAAGAGCCTGGGGAAATGTTCTAGAATAAAGGATCTTTGATCAGATTCTAGATACAGACATAAAATAAGATAAAGCAAAAATTCCCAGCTTTATAGATCATTATTGAGTCAGTGGGTAATATTTCAACGTGGACTCTATGTTAATGTTGAATTATTATGTGTTGGTGTTGAATTATTAAATTTTCTGCATGTAATAATTGTATTGATGAGATGTGGGATAATATCTTTCATGGAAGGTACATGCCGAAGTATTACAGGGACTCAGAGTCACGAGATCTACAAATGTTTCTCAAGTAATTCAGAATAAGAAATGTATCTATGTTGCATATACTTGCATGCACACACACAGCTGTGTATATATGTAAATGAGAAAGAGAGAGAGAGAGAGAATGTGGGAAAATGTTAACAATTGGTAAATCTTGATATATAGGTGTTTATTGTACTCCTGCACTTTTTTTTTGTAGGTTTGGTATTTTTCAAAATAAAAAGTTGGGGGGCGGGGAAAGGCAAATTCCAAAGGGCATTTCCCTTTATCTTTCTTTAGATATTAGTCAAAGTTCAGCTAAAAAGAAGTGGAAAAATCTCCAAGCTACTAAAATAAATAAGCTGCTCTCACCATCTATAAGATTTGGATATCTTGGTGCTTACAGACAAAGGCAGCTGAAGACTCACTAAATAAAACATCTTAATCTATATTTGACCCTTTAAGGGGTACCTCTGCCTGTTAAATAAGCAAGAAAATAAAACACATAACTAGGCATGCAGGCATCATGATAATCACAAGTTTTTTATTTGGAAATGTTTCTCAATTTGGGAGTTATTGCTTTCAGCTATAATAATAGCGGGCTTTTCCAATAAGGAAAAAATACGTGGAATTTAAAATAAATATCATCAGTACAATTCTGCAGTGTTGAAAAAACATAAATGACCTTTTTTCTTTTCTTTAAACATTAAAAATCTCCTGGAGGTTTCAGGAGACAGAATTTATGTTCAGGGAGAATAAATTTCAACTAACAGGTGACTGGTTACAAAAGGCCTTCACCATTATTTTAAGTAGTGCCAAAACCCCTTTTATTTGTGGCCTTTGCCCAAAGATAAGCCCAGACTTTTCTCCAAGAATGTTGGCTACAGTTTCTCATTGCCATCTGGGGTCTGCCTGTGGAACACAATTCAGAATGGAATTATTAGCTCAGGGGATGTCACTGTTTGCTTCCTAGAAATTGACTCAAACCAGTGTACTACCAAACTCAAAGTACAGTTAAAGTCATTGGGAGGCCGGTTTTAAAAGAACTCACACATTTCTCCAGGGAATAGCAAAAGGTTTCAAGGCACCTTTTTGGTGGGATTTTACACCCTCATTTTTTTTTTCCTAATGTAAAAAATAGTAGCAAGTTCAGGCTTTGTTTCTGAGACCTCTCTCAGTTTTACATGGCAAATCCTTTTTCCAGAAGATTAAGTAATTATTCTCTTATTGTTCTGTATCCTAATTCCATTTTTTCTTTTTCTTTCACTGACAAAATATCAAGAACTGTAGTGAATATCATTTAATGACTATCTATGATGTTTCTGATATCATGTTAAGGGACCTATATATTACATTGTTTGATATAAACAAGAAAGCCTATAAGACAGTTGTTATATTATTTTACAATGAAGGGAAGTTTTACAACTAAATTAGTTCGTGATCGCCAGCTTGGGAATAAAGTCTTGCTCCTGACACTACAATATATGAAGGACAATTATTTTTTTTAATTCAATCATCCATTTAAGAATTGTGACAGATAGCATACAGAAAAGAAATAGATTGAAACAGATTCCTGTGAGAGTGGCAATTGTATTACTTTTGTCTAATAACTGATCAGTTAGTTCTTTCATAAGTATGTTTATCTTTCTAAAACTTGATAATGATGGGCATTTGTTTGTCAATTAAAATCTGTATGGCTGTCTAAAGGAAATATCAGACATTCTGTAGGAATCATTAAGGTCAAGGTAGCTTGCTGTGATTTAGGCCTAAGATCAATAAAGCATTCAGCTGAGCTGTCAAAGAGTGACCTTGGAGAGAAAACAACCATGAGAGAGATTTGGAAGTAATAAGGCCAATCAGGTGACAGCCATTCACTCACCTGCAGACTTGCCAGGAGAGAAGTCTGCCTTTTCCATATCAGCAGCTACTGCTTCTTGTTTGTTCAGCAAGATCACCAGTTCTGTGCCAGACAGTGGGCTCTGAGCCGAAGTCGTTCAAAGGAATGGCCACAATTGCCTGCATGTCTAAATTTGCAATCTTGGTTGAATTGCTGTGCATAGAATAGGATGTTAGCAATAAACCATAATACCAACAAACAGTAAACCAGTCATTCATTAGCAAATCATGACTATTAGCATTATCTTCTGAGTATAGTAATAAGGAGCCCACATTATGGATGCCCCCGGGACATTTTCCTTGCTGTCTTCTTTTGGGTTTTCCTCTGAAAACATTATTCAAGGATCTGGTGGAAGAGGATAGTGGAAAGGACTGAGGGTAAATTATCCAACCAATTAGAAACTTCCACATTGTCAACTTTCAGCTTTGATTATATTTATCTTGGATGATTGAGTAAATTACTTGGCTTTTCTCCATTCTTTAAAATAGTCATATAAGACCACACTGTGCCTGATTACATGATTCACTTCTATTGTAAGCCCTTAGAAGCATGCATACTGGTTGTAAATATCATCTAATAACCTATTAAAACTTTATGTGTTTAAATTGTATCTAATTTTGCATTTATACCTAGCTAATTTTACTTCTGTTCCCATTTATCAACTTTAGCAATACTCATCCTCTGAAATATCTTGGCCAACAATTGTTTCTTCTAATAGGGCCCACATATTAGAAAAATATGTAATAGCTTTGTAACACTGACATCTTCAGCTACCATATGTATTTGACTGTTTCCTTTCAAACTTGTTTACTGGAAAGAGTATAATATGATAAATATTATCATCATTAGAGTATAGTATTATTATTATTATATTGTATAAGAACATATGGCATATTATATAACAAACTGGGTGTTTGGGTAATGAAAATTGTTTGTTAAATAAAAGTAACAAATGGGTTAAGAGAGGAATATGTTTGAAAGTGATAATTTTTAAATATCAATAGAAGAAGTAATTTTTCTTCTTCTATTAGATTATATTCCTGGTACAACTTTCTCTGCCAAATAGTGATATTTGACTTTAATTCTGGAATATTTTTCTCTTTAAAAAGATCACATCTTAAATTTCAATTATGCAGTTTTGCTCTTAGCATATGTATAAATGTTGTGAATGTTTCATAGAGAATGTATGTATAATGCTTATTCATACACATCTTTGAAGATCAATATCTTATTTCATTATAGGGGCTAGGCAAATTTTTATTTTATTTCTAGCTTATAGGCTGTATCTTGGATTTTCAAATTTATTTTTTATGTAAAATCTATGCTGTCAAGCAAAACAATCCCTTTCTAAACTCCTTTTTAGGCCTTTGATTTAGAGAGATCTGTAAGTATTAAATCCATGAAGGACTTATTCTCAAGGTTGCAGAGTAATGAGATCTGAAGGTAAGGTCACCCGTAATATGTGAGAAGTGTCCTGCTGAAAATCACACACAGCAAACAAGGTTTCAAACACTAAGGTAGAGATTATTCTTTGTGGGGAAAATCTTCTTCTTTGTATTTCAAGTAAATTTATTTATATTCTTTCTTTCTCCCTGTCTGCCTTCCTCTTTCTCCTCTCCTGGCATCATCCTTGATTCTCTCTTAGTTTATCCCCAAGGTAATAAAAGTAGAAATATTCCTCAGCTTAAAAGAGAGGTAATCTTTTTTGACTTTCGAAATTATGCCCTTTCTACTCTGCCATTTCTCAACTCCCCTTTATAGTTAAACTTCTCAAAACGTTTTCTTTTCATATTGCCTCTATTTTCTCACCTCCCATTCTTAGTGTCTGGTTTTTTAGTTGTTAGCCTTCCTGTGATATTTTCCCAGGCATGTTTCTCAGCCCAGATAAGACTACTTTGTGGGTTTTTCTTTTTTACAATATGATTTTTTGTATTATACTTTAAGTTCTGGGGTACATGTGCAGAATGTGTAGGTTTGTTACATAGGTATACACATGCCATGGTGGTTTGCTGCACCTATCAACCCGTCATCTACCTTAGGTATTTTTCCTAATGTTATCCCTTGCCTGGCCCCCCACCCCTTGGCAGTCCCCAGTGTGTGATGTTCCTCTCCCTGTGTCCATGTGTTCTCATTGTTCATCTCCCGCTTATGAGTCAGAACATGTGGTGTTTGGTTTTCTGTTCTTGGGTTACTTTGCTGAGAATGATGGTTTCCAGCTTCATCCACATCCCTGCAAATGACATGAACTCATCCTTCTTTATGGCTGCGTAGTATTCCGTGGTTTATATATGTATACATTATGAAATGATTACCAACAGCCAGTTAACATCTCCATTGCCTCACATAATTACCTTGTGTGTGTATGTGATGAGAACATCAAGATCTACTCTCTTAGCAAATTTCAAGTGTACATTATTATTTTATTTTTGCCAATCTAGTAGATGATGAATATTTCATTGTATTGTTAGTCTACATTTTCTTGATTACTAAGTTTAAGCATCTTTTCATGTTTTTAGCCATTTATGTTTTTTTCCGAAGTACTTTTTGAAGGCTTTTGTCTATTTTTTTATTGAGTTACTTTACATCTTTTGTTATTTGTAGAAATTTTTCACTATAAACAGAAATTTTTCACTAAAACAGATTTACAAAAAAATCTGAGAAAAATTTGCAAAATTTTTCTCCTACTTTTCACCCTCTTATAGGGTTCATAAATAATAGATGGCCTTTTTAATATAATATTATGCATAAATTCTTTTCCTATATTGCTTATACTTTTGTCTTTATATATATATATATATATATATATATATATATATATTATTGCACTTTAAGTTCTGGGGTACATGTGATGAATATACAGGATTGTTGCATAGGTACCTACATGGCAATGTGGTTTGCTGCCTCTATCCCCGTCACCTATAACTGCCATTTCTCCCCATGTTATCCCTCCCCAACTCCCTACCTACCACCGTCCCTCCCTTAGTCCCCCCACAACAGACCTCAGTGTGTGATGCTCCCCTCCCTATGTCCATGTGTTCTTATTGTTCAACACCCGCCTTAAACTCCAGAGCTTCTGTACAGCAAAATAAACAATCATTAGAGTGAACCGGCAACCAATAGAATAGGAAAAAATTTTTGCAACCTACCCATCTGACAAAGGATGTATATCCAGAATCTACAAAGGACTAAAACAGATTTACAAGAAATAGCAAACAAACACATTCAAAATGGGTATAGGATATGAACATACACTTTTCAAAAGAAGACACATATGAGGCCAATAAACATATGAAAAAATGCTCATCATCACTGGTCATTAGAGAAATGCAAATCAAAACTATATTGAGATACCACCTGACGCCAGTTAGAATGGTGATCATCAAAAAATCTGGAGACAACAGATGCTGGAGAGGACGTGGAGAAATAGGAACACTTTTACACTGTTGATGGGAGTGTGAATTAGTTCAGCCATTGTGGAAGACAATGTGGTGATTCCTCAAGAACCTAGAAATAGAAATTCCATTTGACCCAGCAATCCCATTACTGGGTATATATCCGAAGGATTATAAATCATTCTGTTATAAAGACACATGCACACGTATGTTCAATGCAGCACTGTTTACAATAGCAAAGACTTGGAACCAAACCAAATGCCCATTGATGATAGAATGGACAGGGAAAATGTGGCACATATATACCATGGAATACTATGCAGCCATAAAAAATGATGAGTTCATGTCCTTTGTAGGGACATGGATGAACCTGGAAACCATCATTCTCAGCAAACTGACAGAAGAGCAGAAAATCAAACACTGTATGTTTTGTGTTTTTTGTTTTGTTTTTTGAGATGGAGTCTTGCTCTATTGCCCAAGCTGAAGTGCAGTGGCATGATATTGGGTTACTGCAACCTCCTCCTCCCCGATTCAAGCAATTTTCCTGCCTCAGCCTCCCAAGTAGCTGGGACTACAGGTGCCCACCACAATGCCTGGATAATTTTTGTATTTTTAGTAGAGATGGGGTTTCACCATAGTGGCCAGGCTGGTCTCAAACTCCCAACCTCGTGATCCGCCTGCCTCAGCCTCCCAAAGTGCTGAGATTACAGACATGAACCACTGCCCCCAGCCAAGAATACCTTTAAGTAGGATTGCATTATGTATTACTTTTTTTTAAAGTAGCCAATCACTCAAAAATATACTATAAGCTTATTGATATCAGATTTTTACTATTATAAAAATAGCAAGTATTGTCTGACAATGCACAACCACTCAGAAGGCTAGGTTTGAATTTAGAATTCTAGGATCCTTGGAATTGCACTCACTCCTGCCCGGCCACCTATGCTGTCCTATACTAACAGGAAACTTGCACATATATACCTGAGCAGCCTGCATGTCCAGGCTCCTCCCTCCAGCCACCACAAATAGTTATTGTTGGCTATTCAACAAGCTTTGAGGTCACACAGTAATTGCATAGTTCCACTATTTTGGCAGGGCATTCCGGGTTTCCTGGGTGTGGGTTGGAGTGAAGTGCAGCGGAACACATCCCCTTGGCAAGCTCATTTCCTGCTCATCTACCCTAGGAGATATTCACAGAAATGTTCACACCAGCATTGTTAAGAAGAAAACAACTGGAAAAAAATCTCAGTTGGTGGTTGACAAGGGAGTGGATAATTCGTGTTACACAATCACATAGTAATGAAAAGGTGTATGCACATATTATAAATATTTTATAAAATACTATGGTAAATTGTATGTAACTGATTATCACAGAATGCTTTTACTGATTTTTGCTGAGTCTTTCATGAGTAGCCAACCTACAGAATTATGATTCAGTGTAGAATGAACATTGGATAATATGTTTATGTTAAAAATTAATACAAAAGTGAAACAACTCAGACATATGTTGGAAATTCACCATTTGTCAGAGACATTAGCAAATACTGTGCTTTGTTCAATGAGATAATAACTTTTGAATACTAGAATAGTACTTTTTCATTCTTTTGAGGCTATAGACATGATATAATGGCTATAGACATGACACACTTTTAAGTTTAACCTGCATTATTAACATGTTTTCCATATTAAATGTAAATAATCCACAGAACAATAGATCAAGTCCTGACTTGCAGCATTGCAAATTTTCTTGGTATAAATACTCCCACAGTTGCCAATTTCAAGCTATTGACATGGCACTGCTGAAACAGAGTTGAAAAGATAGGCAGTAATACACGTAACATAGTGTTTCCAGCATACAGGCAAAAAACAGAGCCTCAAAAACACGGATTTTAGTAAAACATAGTAACATAATTGGACAATGATGAGTTTTGTGGCTTCCTTTTGTGATTAATATAATTTGCTTAATTATAAGTTTATATAATTTATTTCTTTATAATGACTGTGTTTAACAACTGGCTTGCAACATTTTAGAGAATTTAGCAATCAGCTATTACAAGCTGGTTCAAACCAGCTTCATCACAGTATTGTCCAATTGACTGAATGGTCTGTGTTGGGTAGTTTTTGTTTTTTGTTTTTTTCCATTTTGTTTTTCTATTTGTTGATTTCTGACGCAAGATAGCACTGTATTAATTGATACAGCTTTAAACTTCAGCTTCATATTTGGAAGGGCAGTCCCCTCAGTTTTCTTCTGTCGGCTGGTCTTGTTGAGGTATACCTTGGCACTTCCCTCTTCTGTATAAATTTTAAAATTATTTTGTAAATTGCACCCAAAAACCTCTTGAAAGTTTGAATGAAACTTCATTGACTTTTAGGTCAGTTTGGTGAGAAGAGACATCTTTATGACACTGATTTTTGCTAGGTATTAATATTGTATAACTCTTAAGTTTCTTTCATGCTCACAAAGGTATAATCATATAATGCTTAAAAATTCCTTTTTAAAAAAGGTTTATTTCAAAATACTTTATATTTTTGGTTGCTGGTATAAAGACTTTTAATTTTTTTTTTTTTACTAAGTTAACTTTATTGAGGTGTAATTTACATACAATGGAATGCACCAATTTTGTATGTAGGTGGTTACACCCCTATAACTACCACCACCACAATAAGGATTCAAAACATTCCTATCACTCCAGTAAGTTCCTTTTTGCTCTATTTTGGTCAGACCCTCCCTCCCAAGCCCAGGAAACCATTAATTCACTTTATGTCACAATAGATTAGTTTTAACTATCCCAGAATTTCATAAATATCGAATCATACATATGTGCTCTTTTGGAGCCTGAAACTTTTGCTGAACATAATGCTGTTTTCAACTATTACATTTATGAATTTTCTGGTAATTTATAACATTTTAACAAGTGCTAACATTTAAAAACTTATTAATGAGTATTGGATGTTATTGACTGCTATTTATTGTAGCTGTTGTTAATCAGTTGTAACCTTTAATATTCTCTTTGCAAATATATTTATAAATGAGCTTGGATTCATAGAGTAGTGGTTAGAAAACTTTTAGAGTCAAATGATAACTATTTTCAGCTTCCAGGTCATACAGGTTCTGTAGCAATTACTCAATTCTGTTGAGTAGTGTGACAGCAACCATTTAGTACATATAAACAGAGAGGCATGGCTGTGTTCCAATAAAACATTATTTAAAATATAGGCAGCCAGGCCTCAGACTGTATTTTCCTGATCCTTGTCAGGAAAACAATTTATATACTTATGACATTAGGACTTTTTACACTTTCTGTGTCTTCTTGGGTAAGATTTGTGAAATCATATTTTCTACTGTATTTTCCATTTTTTTTCTGTTGTAATTTTTATTATGTTCTTCTTTCTGTTAGTTTTGCATTTAGTTTGTACTTCTTTTCCTAGTTCTTTAACTTGTAAAGTCAGGTTATTGATTTGAGATCTTATTTTTTAATATAAGCATTTATACTTATAGATTTCCACTTTACCACTGCTTTCACCATATCCCATGCATTTTGATATGTTGCTTTTTCATTTTTATTCATCCCCAAGCATTTTCTGATTGCCTTTGTCATTTCCTTTGTGATCCACTTGGTTGTTTAAGAGTGTTGCTTAATATTTGCAACTTTTTTTCACTTTTCAGTGATAGAATTTTTCTGTTATTGATTTCTAAGTTCATCCCATTGTAGTCAGAGTATAATATCTGTCATTTTAAATCTATTGAGATCTAGTTTGTGGTATATCACATGGTCTGCAAAATGTCCCATGTGTACCTGAGAAGAATGTGTATGCTGTTATTGTTGGGTAGATTGTTTTGTTGTTGTTGTTGTTGCTGTTGAGATGGAGTCTTGCTCTGTCACCCAGGTTGGAGTGCAGTGGCATGACCTGGCTCACTCCAACCTCCACCTCCTGGGGTCAAGCGATTCTCCTGCTTCAGCTCCCTGAGTAGCTGGGATTACAGGCGCCTGCCACCACACTAATTTTTTTGGTATTTTTAGTAGAGATAGGGTTTCACCATTTTGGACAGGCTATAGATTGTGTTATTTCTATGTTTATTAGATCTACTTGGTTTATTGTGTTGCTTAAGTTCTCTATTTACTGACTTATCTTCTGTCTGGTTGTTTTATCCATTATTAAGAGTAGGATATTTAAATCTGCAGCAATTAGTGTAGAACTGTGTATTTCTCTCTTCAATTCTGACAGTTTTTGCCCCCTATATTTTGATGGCCTGATATTAGATGTATAAAAGTTTATAATTTCTAGTCTTCTTGCCTTGCTAAATTTTTTATCAGTATGTAATGTCCTTCTTTGTCTCTGATAACCTTCGACTTAAAGTATATTTTGTCTTGTTAGTATAGCGACCCCCACACTTTTTTGGTTACCATTTGCAAAGAATATCTTTCCATAGCTTTTTAGCCTTCAATCTGTTTATATCTTTGGATCTAAAATAAGTTTCTTGCTGGCCATGGTGGCACATGGCTGTTGTTCCAGCTACTTAAGAGACTGAGGTAGGAGGATTACTTGGATCAAAGAGTTCCAGATTTTAGTGTGCTATGATTGTACCTGTGACTAGCCACTGCACTTCATCCTAGGGCAACATAGTGAGACAATTTCCTCTTAATACAATTAAACAAATGAATAAATAAAAAAATAAAATGAGTCTTTTGTGGATAGCGTGTATGGATTGTGTCTTTTAATCCATTCTTAAAATCTGTTTTTTTATTGGGGAGTTTATTTACATTTTAAGTGATTACTGATAATGTGGAACTTACTTGTGTTATTTTGCTGTTTTCTACATGCCACATAGCTTTTTTTTTTTGCATTTCATTTATTGCATTACTGTCTTCTTTTGTGTTTAGTTGATTTTTTGTGGTGCAATGTTTACTTTCTGTCATCTCCTTTTGTTGTGTATTTTATAGGTATTTTGTCATTAAAATACATTTAACATCCTAAAGTTATGCCATTCTAATTTGAATTTATACCAGCTTGACTTCAATAACATACAATAACTGCTCCTTTACAGCTCCATCTTCACCCCCACTTGAATGTTGATGTCACAAAATTACCTCTTTATACATTTGTTTCCTAAAACATAAGGTAATAATTATTTTAAATGCATAAGTCTCTTAAATTATGAAAAAAGCAAAATATGGAGTTATAGCTCATTATTTTTGAAATACTAGCTTTAAAAATTGCCTATGTGTTTATATTCATTGAGGTCTTTGTTTCTTCATGTTGCTTTGGATTAATGTTGAATGTTCTTTTATTTCACCCTTCAGGGTCTCCTTGAGCATTTCTTGTGGAACTGGTCTATTGGCAATACATTTTCTCAGCTTTGTTTTTTGGGGGAATGTCTTAATTTCTTCCTGACTTTTGAATGGCAGTTTTGCCAGATACTGAATTCTTGGATTGGCAAGGTTTGTTTGTTTTGTTTTGTTATTTAGTTTTTTAGAGCTTTGAATATATTGGCCAATGGCTGTCCTCTAATGTTTCTGAGGAGAAATCTGCTGATCATCTTTTAGGGAATCCCATGTATGTGACAGATTTCTTCTTCCTTGCTACTTTCAAGATTTTTCTCTTTGTCTTTGTCTTTCTAAAGTTTGATAATAATGACTCTTGGTAGGGGTCATCTTATTTGGAGTTCTTTGAGGTTCTTAAATATTTATATTTGTGTCCTTTATCAAATGTGGAAAGTTTTCAGTCATTATTTCTATAAATATTTTCACTTATTCTTTGTCTTCTCCTTCTAGGACTGCCACAACACATGTGTTGGTCTGCTTGATGTTGACTCATGAGTTCTTTGGGATCTGGTTACTTCAGTCCTTTGTTGTTGTTGTTCCTCAGGCTCAGTAATTTCCATTGCTCTTTCTTCAAGTTTGATCACTCTTTCTTCTGCCTGTTCAAATCTGTCCTTGAATTCATTTAGTGAATTTTTCATTTCATTTACTGTACTTTTCAACTCCAGAATTTCATGTTTCTTTTCAGATTCTCTATATCTTTGTTGACATTTTCGTTTTGTTCATACGTCACTTTTTTCATTTTCTCCCTATATTTCTTTATTTCTTCAGCACTTTAAGATAACTGTTTTAAAGTCTTTGCCTAGTATACCTGCCATCATGTGTTTGTCGGGGACAATTTCTGTTGATTTGGCCTTTTCCTCTGAATGGGCCATACTTTCCTATTTCTTTGTATACCTTATTATTTTTTATTAAAATTGTACATATGAATCTATACTTTTACCTCTATTTTTGCAGATAAATAAGACTTGGGTAAATTGATAAGTATAGAGATAATAGGGGACTGGGATTCAAATGTTCAATATTTTGATTCCAGAGTTTTGCCATTAACTTCTGAATTCTTTGCTACTTTTTCTCTAAGTCTGTTCTCACAAAGCAAACTTTTAATGCATAATTTAGTAACTTAATAAGATATGGCTATTGGAAAGAAATAGTCTGTGAAGAAAGGCTGAGTCAATTATGCCCCACAATTTTAAAAACTTGGGATTCTGGTTTATAATTCATCCTGTAAAATTGATTGTTGCCTAAACTACTAAAATTATATTTCTGAATGCAACCAAGTGAGGGTCAAACCATGAACTCTAGTTCTACTTATGTATATTTTCTTATTTTCAAAGGCTTGTACAGACATCTCATGTCATCCTTATAATATGTCCCTGAAATACTGATAATATTTTTTCCGTAAATGAAATGGCTTATGAAACTTGGATATAAATTAAAGGTCTTTTGACTTTTCTTGAAGAGCTCTTCCAATATAGAATGGATCAGGCATTTCATGAATTCCTTCCTGAACTACCCAAATGACTTCACCCTTACATAATTTGATTTAGTTCCATGTCATAGAATTAAGGATTGGATGATGATTGACTTATTGTTGTCTTAGAGGACAGCAATATTTAATGCATTTGTGGATCTAATTGAATTAAATGAGAAAAGTAGCTTCTATACAGTTAATATATGATGCAAATGCACTGAAACGGGAACTAGAACACATACAATTAATAAATTGGTTTCCTCACTAGACAAAACAAGCCAGGAAGGATGACAAATATTTTTGTGTTTTGTTATTCATGAACTATTTTCACATGATTTATGCCTTCATATATTTGGGCGTCAGTTTTTGAAAGTTTATTTTGCAATTTCTGAATTGATTGTTCTGGATAATTTAGCATTCCCTTTGTCTTTTGACACTAGCAGAGAACTTTTACGTGGATGGCTGACTTCTGAGAATCTTTTGGTGCTTCTATTTCCCAGAGGCCTATCAACCCAATGACTTTTTCTTTTTATGGCCCATGTTCTAAATAATGACAGGTAACATTTCTGTTATTGGCCTCTTTTTTTGACAGTGACTACCTACATAAAGAAAAAAGAGAAAATAATGTTATTTCAAACCAGCACTAAACTGGTTTAATAAAACTTCACGCAGAAACTTCAATTTGGAAAAACTCTGTTTTAGTGTATCAGTAATGACATTTATCCTTTTTTAAGGCAGAGTTGGCATTGTAAGTGTAGACTGTTGTTATATATAGGCAAAAATTATTAGTTAAGTGTTAATAAAAAATTACATGTGATGTATGGACATAAATATGAGCAGTAAATAGTAATGATACTTCTAATCATAACTAACTTTTTAGTGCTTACTGTGCTTCAGGCAGCATCATATGTGATTTAATTTGATCCTCACAAAAATCTAAAGGGTTGGTGTTATTATTATCCCAATTTTACAAAATGAGAAAAATGCTGTTCAAAGAAGTGAAGCAAGTCAATAGGTTAACACTGCTAGCTAAATCTGTCAGTTCCAGATTTCGCATTCTTTACTATATGCTATCCTACTATATGACATATGATTTGAAGAATAAAACCCGAGTTTCCATAAGAAACAAATACATGTCTTACAAAACAACGGCAAAACATCTAGACCACTAGCCTGCTCTGCTACTGAGTTAACAAGCTTAGTGGGCAGGAAGACATAATAGAGTTCTCTTGAACCACAAAATGTAGAAGTATAATAAATTTTACAGATTATTTTTCCTGTTTCACAGTCTCCAGTTTATGAAGACACAAATTTGGAAGAAATTTATCTTAAAGTTTCACGTATTTTCCCATGCACACGTACTGTGAATCTTGTAACGGATCATGTTTGCCTATTTTCTTTGGCTACTAGGAAGTTCAGAAGAAAATGTTCGCCCACCTATAATAATTAGATTCCTTAATCATATAGTGGCTTCATTTTCTTACTCCATTTTTTAGGAGCTCTGGTTTCTTATTATTCTTCACTCTATTATAAAAATTCCTTCAAGGTCCCACAGTATCTTACTGAGATATGGACTAAATATCCCAAAAATAAAATAGGTATGATGAAAATTCAAAATATATAGTTTTTTTAAAAGACTTAGAATTTCTGTAAATGTGGACTACTGAGATTTTCTGTTCAATTAAGAGAAAGGGTTAGGTTTGGTTTGGGTTTAGAAATATAGATATGATCATATCATTACATGAAACCATGCATCCAACTATGAACATACATTTTGTTCTAATTTGGAGACGCTATTTCTAGGGCATATTTTTGCCATGTGCAATTAATTATGATATAAAGGGACAGTTTTCTGCTTCCTTATAGCAAATATTAAAGGTGAATTTCTCCAGACTTATTGCAGGACTTATAAAATATTATCTTGGATGACCTAGTAACAAATGTAACACCCCACAACTTTCAGTAACAACATAATTGATTAATGTTCTATTGCCTGTAAAACAGAGATTGAAACTCCATGTCTATCATGAAGATGTTAAGAGGCGTTTTAAACTAGATTACTGAGCTCTCTCATTACTGATGTCTGGGAGCATCTTATTTTCAATGCATCCGGGAGGGCATGATTTTTTCTAGGCAGTTTGGACCCCCGAAACATGACTTTCTGAGTCCTTTCTTGTTAACAAGAGGAAACATAAATGATTGGAAAAATATTCAATTGTCCCAGGGAAGATGGAGGAAGAATCCTCAAGGGGTGTGTTAGTCTGTTTTTCAGGCTGCTGATAAAGACATACCTGAGACTGGGCAGTTTACTAAGGAAAGAGGTTTAATGGAGAACTCATAGTTCCACGTGGCTGGAGAAGACTCACAATTATGGCGAAAGCAAGGAGGCATAAGTCACATCTTATGTGGATAGCAGCAGGCAAAGAGAGAGCTTATTCAGAGAAATCCCCATTTTTAAAGCCATCAGATTTTCTGAGACCCATTCACTATCACCAGAACAGCACGGGAAAGACCCAGCCCCGTGATTCAGTCTTCTCCCACTGGGGCCCTCCCACGACATATGAGAATTATGGGAGCTAGAAGATGAGATTTGGGTGGGGACACAGAGCCAAACCATATCAAGGGGAAAAAAAAGAAAAAGAGAAAATTGCTTTGGTATGAAAAAAAAAGAATGTACAGAGGGAAGAGGACACAGATGACTTAGTTAAATCCACGCAGATTATAAGCTTCCTGAAAACCTTTCTTTAATCCTGTGATGTGTGATGTGTCACAGAATACATGGACTACCTTTTCATGTCGAGAGTTCTGCTGTTAGTAAATCAAGATGATGAATTTTCTTGATAAATTCTCGAGGGTGCCTGGAGGAGAGAGGTAGAGGATGTGTTCGGGGCTCTGATTCCCTTGCAGCACCTGGCAGCTTACTTTGCTTGGCTGGTTCCTTGGTCTGCATGGATCCTGCATGGTGCTGTCAGGTGCCAGAAACAACAACCACATCAAGTCTCACTTCAGGACTGAACAAAGTTATCTCTGTCCAGCACGTATCCAAATACAATGAAAAACATGTATGAACAGATGGAGGAATTCACTTGTTCCGTTTTCCTTTGGTGAGTCTTAGGAGCTATTTTACCCATGATATCTTTTTCCATACTTTTAAATGCTTATCCCCAGATACTGTATAAAATTTAGTATTTAAAGGTTAGTTCTGGCAAAGTTAACCAAATAGTTCTTATGCTAATTCCACAGATGTGCTTATTTATTCATGTCTAGAATACTTTCTGTCTTCAGATTAATTAAGGCATGCCAATAATTAACTATTCTTTCAGGCTTTAAGGGTCACTCTATTTCTTTAAAAAAATTAATAAAAAAGAAGAAGTTTGAGCTATACAAAAGGAGTATTAGTACTTTATAAATTTTACTACTGGATGTATTGAATAATATAACAGTGGTGTTTAACATTTAACATAACAGAATTTTTAGTAATTAAAAGATGGCTTTCAGTGTTAATTTTTTTCTCTCTTTTATTTATATTGTCATTTGCTGCATGTCATTTTATATTTTAGATAGAATTAAGAAACCCCAGCATGTGGGATGCAGAGCATCTGCATTTATTTATTTGCAGATGCATGTGTGATGCCAGTTTAGGGAATTCTGTTTTAAAGGTAGGATGGTTTAAAGTCAGAATGATGGTAAATGGTTCATATATGTTAAGATGACAATCTATAGAAACCCCACTTGTCTAAACTGCAGTATGTTCCTATTTGGAACTGCAACTGATGTTAAAAAATAATTTATTTTCACGTGCAGCTTTATTCTTCACCTTGCTAAAGTCACATAGAGAAAACAAAATGCCATCAAGGGTAATGACATTGCCCTTGCACTTTAATCTAAAAAGGGCAAAAGAGCTTTACACCTTCAAGACTTCTTCTTCCTTGAGATAAAGTGATGTTAGCTTCAATTTTCATTTAGTATTGTATTATATTATAGTTTCTGTATTTTATAATATGGTTTATATTCAAAAGAAGTCAGACTATCCAGACATTACAGAAACAGTCACAGTCTAACAAGCATGATCGTGAGTACTGAAATAATATCCATTGTCTTGGACCAAGCATAATATTAGAAATCATATTTAATGTAAATACAATTACAGGAAGAAAATAGTATATTATAAGAATTTTTTTTCTAAAATGATTGACGGAGTCTAAATAAAATGTATGAATCTAACAAATGTTAATTTAGTATGCCATGAATGGAGCACTGTACTGGAAAGAGTTAATGCCATTAAAATTATTAAAACATGACCATCCTAATACAACTCATAGGTCTATAAAAGGGGTAGAGGCCAGAATTTAGACATAATATAATATATAATATGACTGACATAAATATAACGTGACTGACATAAATAGAATGAGACTAAAATGTTTGTTGTGAAGAGTGAATGCAGCGGTAGCAGCAAGCTTCTCCAGGAATTGACATTTAGTTACTAAACTAAAAGAAACAACAAGCTTTTTGATAAATTGCAGGTTAATGTTTTTCAAACATTTATTTTTTTATTTTAATAATAGTGTTCTTTTCCTATAAAATGGCTTGTTAATGTCCTTGCTGGCGCCCAGTCCCTGGCCTTGCTATTCCCAGCTGCACTGAGCACATACCTTTTCACTGATCCTGCCACGCAGGTCTCTTTCTCATCCTCCCAAAGCTATGCTGCCTCCCCACATCCCCACGGCTGCTGTCCACAGGCTTCTGATGCCGCACACTGCCTCTTCTCTCTGGGACCTCACTGAGGCCCAGACTGCTCCTCTGGGGCTTGTGATCACAAGTCATGGGTTTAATCCCTGCTCTAAATGTCACTAGCTGATTAGACTTTGGGCAAGTCATTTAATTTCTCTGATCTGTGCTCCCTTCTGAACAATGTGGATTATTGTAAGATATGCAGGAGTGGTTGTTTTAAGTATCAAGTGGGGTAACAAATGGGAAAGATTCTCCCAGGGCCTGTCTCAGGCAAACCATCAGTCATGTCCATTAACCCTTCCCTCTCTCTTTTTCTGCCTCCCTCCTTCCATCCTTCCTTCCTTCCTCTATTTCTTGCTTGACTTTTTCTGCTCCACTATTAAAATTATTTAATCTCTTTTTTCTCTTTTTCTTTGTGATATAATAATCACAAAAGAAGGACTTATATATATGTTCAGGTAGTTCAGAAAAGGATAGAGCATTTTCACAATTGAAAGCATGAGATAACTATTCAAGGATCATTCTTGTAGGGTCTTGAAGTGAGCGTGGACCTTATGTATGTAGAGAAGAGAGAAAGCACTGGATGTAAAGTTAACGCCATCAAAGAGGGCCTTGCCTCCCAGGTGAAAGAATTTATACTCTATTAAACAACATGGAGGCTCTGAAGCTTGTTTTTTTTTTTTTAATCATTTTCTAGGTATTCAAAGGATTGATTTTGAAAACAGTGTTCACGATTAACAGGATAGGTAGAGAAGAGAAGTAGACGGATCATTTCAGAGGATGTGAATCAAAGTAGGAACTAATGAAATTGAAAGGGCTGTTGAGGAATAAATTGTACTGTCGCTGGGACTCCCAGCCAGTTGCTTCTAGGTGTGGAAGCAGCGATGATGTGGGTGTTAAGCTTAGTCACTGGAGGGACGCAGGTGCCATGATCCTAGAGAGGAAACATCAACAGATATATGTTTGACTAGGAAGGTGGTGAACAATTACAAGTTTGAGATTTCAGCTGGAAATTTGGGAAAATGTGTTTAGAAAGTGATGGGAAGTACAAGCCTTGAATTCCACAGCTATTTAAACCCCACTCCCAAGGAATTTAGAATAGAGGTTAAATGTGAGAGGTAGACGCATTCAAGGCTAATGAATGTCAGGAGAGAAGGGCTTAGAGCAGATGAACTGAGGGAAGTGAGATTTATTTTGTGAAAGGTGAATGATGATGCAGAGAAAACATCATCAGAAGCTGAACTGCTTAGAAGGTTGGGATGGTGTTCAGAGAAGAAGGGAACACTGGGGTGTTTTGAATAGTGTGGTACACTGAGTCTGAGGAAGATGGAGGATTAAAGGCTAAGCTGATAAACTTAGAGGTCCCTGGTGACTTTTCGAAAACAGTTTTACAGGGTGATATTTGTTAAAGCCAGAGCAGGACAAACAGTGGTTCATAGTAAGCCCTGGAATTAGATTTGATGGTTTTAAATCAAGGCTTGTTTTCTACTAGTTGCTTTCAATTTAAGATTTAGTGTCTTTCTGGGTGTTTTGTGTAAAGAAAATATAATTTATGCCAACTTTTATATTTTTAAGTTAATATTTAATGCATTCAAGTTGCAAATTTCAAAACCCTTTCTCTTGAGCTGTAAAGCTTAACTCCAATTTATTCTATTTATAAATGTGATATAGTTTACCAAGCACTTTCAAAAGGATGTTTATAAGTTAGTTAATTAAATTCCATTAAATATTTAAACAGCATTCATAAATTTAGCATATTCATTTCTCTTTTGAGGCTTCTCAATGGTCCAACAACCTCAATGGCCCCAAGATCTAGAGAAATCTACATAAATAAGTTGACTATGTACGTATGGTGGCCCTTACATTCTCTTAAACATTACAATATTATTTATATAACAGTAAATTTTTCTTATAAGTTTCAAATTAAAATAACAAATTCACATAAATCACCCAGTCTTAAATTTGATAAATTCAGAAAATAGCAAATATGCACAAATGATTTCTAAGTGCAGAAGGGTAAAGCACTGGGCTTGTTTTTGCTTCTTCATCTTTGTCCCTCATTCTCAATTCGGCTGATTTTAAGGAAATTTATATGCTAAGAAAACAATTCTACCAGTCAGGTTCTGGTTTCCTTAGCTACCATTCCTTTTGTCATCCTCCAATTTGAAAGCTTAAAAGTGAGATACTCAAATTCTCAGCCTGTCTTGCAGCAGGAGGATACTTGATACACTGCTGTCTGATGGGATATAGACAGGATTTCCTGTGTATTTTATGTTGCAGATAATAGGGGACCAGATATCCACTCATTACTACCGACATTTGGACTTAGAATTATCATCATATCCAACACTTCTATAATCCTCACTTGTTCCAGAAACCATCTTCCGTGCCTTCTGTGGCCTAACTATAACACCTATGGCAACTCGTGAGGTTGATACAATTATCTTTCTATTTCATGGATGAGGAAATGTTGGCACAGAGAGGTCAGTTACTTGCCCAGAGTCACACAGCCAGTAAATGACAGCACTTAATATTTGAACTCCATTCCAGAATCCTCTTAATCTCTTCCCTATAGTCACCTCTCCCTGATCTCCATTTTTCCACTGGGCGCCCAAAACTCTTTGTTTTATCTGTTCTGCAATGTTTATGACATACTGTTACAGCTAATGCTTTCCATGTGTGCCTCTCCTGTTTCACTAAGTGGTCCTTGAAAGCATGCAGCATGCCTCTTTTATATCTCTAGTTGCAGCCACAGTCTCCTTACAGATGTTCAACAAGTATTTTCATGAACAAGTGACCAGATCTCTAAAATTACGAATGCCATAAATAGACTTACTTCAAAAACTCAATATACTAAACCGAATGATACTTATTTGATATTAAAAAGAAGTAAATAGAATAGGTAGAATAGTGACTATTTTACTCCATAAAGTGTGTCACTTTGCATGACGTGAGGACTTGGGAACGTTGGAAGGGCATTGCTTCAGGAGATGGTCCAGGCTAAGAGAAGGATGTTTTTAAAATGTATTTTGTTATTTGCATGATAAGGTGGAAGAAAACCAGGATGCTTGAGAAATACTCTGATCTTCATGGGAATCATGGAGATGTGGCTGTATCCTTCAATAATACATTTTTATCACTTTGCCTGTATACATGAGAGCAGAGTGCAAGAGGAAAGGTGTCCTAGTTCTCAATTCCTTTTATACTTATGACTTTGACCATGGAGAAGCCTAAAACTGCAGAGATTGACAGAAATATTCTCTACTTCCTGTAATTACCGAAGCATCCTGGTACCCATCAGTTCTGGACTCCTGTGTTTCCATCTTTGCTCCTCTGGCATCATGAGACCCCAGAGAGCTGCTCTGATGGCTTTTTGTATGTAAAAGTGAGTTTCCCTTTTTGTAAAATCAGGAGGCTGAAAATGAGCATCAATATGTGTGCCTGATGACTTGCCTGTTGGAAATCTGCTCCCAGGACTGGTGCCAATGAAATATTCGAAATACTTGTTTGGGAGGCACCATAGGACACATTCTACAAGGGAGGTGGCATAGTACAGTAATTAACACCTACTCCACGGAGTCATGTGGCCTGGATGAAGCCTGGCTCTGTTTAAGTTGTATGACTTTATTTGAATCATGGCTTTCCGAGTTTTGCTTTCCTTACATGTGAAATTAGGGTAATAGGAGAAGTACTTATGATGAGAAGTAAAATAATATAATAAAGAAAATGCTTTATGGACAACACAATGCTATCCAAATGTTTGTAGCTATTTTCCAAAAAATATATAATTTGGAGCCTATCAAACCTAATTGTGAGCCCTGATTTTTCAGTGGGTGGTTTCCCAGAGGTTGTGATGTGGTATGTTAGCTTTGCTGGAAGACCTTAGCATATGGGTAGTTTGCCTTCTTGTTATCTACTGGATAGTTGGCTCTCCCTGTAGCATGCCTCAGGATGTTTATTTAAAGGAAAACAGCACTCCTGCTCAATAAAATCTCCCCTTTTCACTCTCTTCTTTGAATTTTGTGATAAGACCTGCTTACTTTCTCCAAAAGAGCAAAGCATACACCCACTGCATCACATCTGTGTGGTACCATCTTAGGCAGGAAGCTGAGGAGTCCCTCACCAGATCTTCTAGAAAAGGAGACCTTACATTGCACCTTTGTGTCTTTCTCCATAAAGGACAGTGTCATTATTGAAGACTTTGGCAAATGTCTGAATCAAACATTCGGTAGAGAAAAAAGACAACTAACAATGCTCTGTTCAGATCTATGATTTTCCTTGAGGAAAACTAAAGTAAGAGTGCTTCCTGGGCACCCACGCAGAGCCGACGGCCACTCACAGGCACCTGAAAGCAACACCATATTGTCACCAGCACTGAGGTGATGATCCACAGAAAAGGAATGTCCCTCACACGTTGAAAGGACATGTGCATTTCATTATGTGAGGTGTCCATTTGGTTTGAGTGAAGTGATCATTATGTCACATTAGTTTCCTTCATCTGGGCAGATGCATCCCTATAGCAGCTGTCTGCAGGTCCTTCCACAGCCACCTAGCATCTTGGCATCCACTTCGGCTTCCTCTGAGAGCTCCTTCCTGCATCTCTAGCCAGGCCTGAGGGACGGGATTTCAGACTCCTTGCTGCTGACGTTTAGCCACTTGCAGCTCTTGATTCTGCCTCTTGCCCTTCAGATGCCTCTTGCCCTTCAGATTCTCCCCAACTTCCTTTCCAGCTGTAACTCAACAGTTGTCACCCAGCCAGATATTAAGCGATTCAAAAGGTCTTTTCTGACAGCAGCTTTATGGAGATGTAATTCACATACTGTAGATTTTACCCATTTAAGTGTACAGTTCAGTGAGTTTTAGTGTATTCACAGAATTGTACAACCGTCACCACAATCTAATTTTAGAACATTTTCTTCACTGCCACAAGGAATCCCACACCCATTAGTATTTATTCCCCATTTGTCCCTATCCGCCTAGTCTTAGGCAACCTATAATCTTTTTGTTTGTTTCTTTCTATAGATTTGCCCATTCTGGACATTTTCTGTAAAGGGAATCATGGAATATATGGTT